TTCAAGCTTCCAATACCCCCCCCCCCCCCCCCCTTCACTTGTTGCCGAGGGTCCTACAAACGTTTCGCCAGAGCAAACCTTCTGATGGCTCTCTTTCTGAGCCTGGTTCTCCCTACTTCAGTCCCTGGTGTCCCACCCTCCTTGGGGGATACTATGCAGAGCAGATCTGGTCCACCAAGGGTCCCTCCTTCATCCCAAGGTTCACAGCTATCCGCGTGGTATCTGAAGAAGACATTCTGAAAGCAAAAGGGACTTCCTTCTAAAACTGCTCAACGGTACAAAGTCCATAACCAGAAGCATTTACAGCAAAGCTTGGAAGACATTGAACTCTTGGCTTCAATCCTCCAGATATTCCGGCAGTTCTAGATGTTCTTCAGGAAGGTCCCCATATGGGACTTCTAGGTTTTTAAGGCCTTCTCAAGGTTGAGGCCGATAGCTAGTAAGACTTTCCTAAATGGGACTTGTCCCTCTTCTTACAGGTCTTGACAGGTCATTCCTTTGAGCCTTCATCGGAGATCTCAGTCACGTTCCTCACCCTTAGGACTTCCTTGCTGATGGCTATGGCTTCATCCGGCAGGATGAGTGAATCACGAGCACTTCTTTAGTATTTTTGAGGATAGGGTTGTCCTTAAAACGGACTTCGGGGTTTTTTACAGAAGGAACCTTCCGCTTTTTCACAGGTCATAAGACATTCTGTAACCGGCCTTCTAATGACCAGGAACCGGCTTCTTCTAATCTAGGAGTCAGGCATTCCCTTTTATCTTACCTGGAGCCAACGAAAGAGTTCCGGTTCTCCCAAATGCCCTTTTTGTTTTATTTTCCGGGAAAACAAAGTTTTAGAGGGAAGGGCTTTCCTCCTAACTCGACTCGATGGATTGAGTCGGCTATTATTGAGGCTTATAACTCCCAGGGGGGCCTCCACCACCTCTCATCAACGCTCATTCTTCTAGGGCCTTAGTGACCTCTTGGGCAGGAGCAACGCCGTAGCAGATCTGTAAGGCATGGACCAGCCTTTCCGCAGTTGTTGGGTATTACCGCCTAGATCTCCTTTTCAAGCCGAGGCGCGGCATCCGGAAGGAAAGTATTGCAGGTTGTGGTCC